TGTTTAAGCAATTTGTCCTGAGTTGGCACTCTCAGTTGGGTTCCGCCAGAACCGCATTGTCACAGATGGGCACCGGGGTCTGCGCAGCTCAGCACAGACCTGATCCAGACCACGTCCCTGGTAAGAGAGAGCAGGGTGGGAGGTGAATATTGGCCCCCGGGGCAAGAGCCATTCCCACGTTGGGTGCTGCTTAAACTTTCCAGTAGGGGCGGCGGCGGGTCCCCATCCATCTCCCTCTATTGATTTCCTCCCAGATGTAATTTACAAGCGATGAACATGAGCAGGGAATGTCCATTTTTAATGGGCGCTGAGCACGTGGGAAACCTTCCAAGGCGCTGGAGTGGCCAGGCATCGCTGGAGCATAGGAAGGGGTGGAGAAAGCGGAGCCAGCATTGGAAACAGTTGGCTCGAATCCTTCGGGTGGGCGGGATTCGACCGGGGTTGCACACTCAGCCGGGGGGAGCTGTGTGGCGGCCACTTTGCACCAGCTGGGGGTCTGGCCCACTCCCGCTATTCATACAAAGGACCACCTGGCGTTTCCAACCCTTGCCCAGCGAGCCAGAAACGCTGTCGCCTGCATCACCTCCCTCTGCCAAGAGCTTCTCCCGTATCCCTGCTCTGCGGTGGGCCTCTTCCCGTCCAAACCTGATTATGGAGGCCATTTTCATGGGCTGACAAATGGGAGCGGCAGCCAAAGGCCTCCTGCCGCTCTGGAGTGTGGGATGGGCAAGGAGCCCAGAGCGGGCTGGAATCAGACCCGCCAAGGGAAGCCAGCCCTTCTTCAGGAGTTGGGAAAGGGAAAGGTTACGGATCGGGGAAAGGTCACCTACGCTGGGGCGTTCGTTGAGCTGCTGCCCCAGGGCTCGGCAGGCCAGGGGAGAAGGGACGGGCGCTGATGGGCAGACGGGGTCAGGAGAGGTTCTGGGTTTGGATCGGAGGTCCCAGCCTGAAGTGCTGGCTCAAGCGCGTTAAGTCAGTCCCGACACTGGGCGTGTTCAGGTTCAGATCTGGGCTTTGGCGCCCCCCCGGCTGAGGGTGCTAGGTTCTGCTTTGACCCATTGCAGAGACACGGGATTAACAACCTCGCTGGGCTGAAGACGGAGCTTGTCAAGTGTACAAATGGGATTCCAGACTGGGGACGCCCAGGAGACCAGGGACCCAGACTCGATGACCCAGATGGGCCCGGCCAGGCCTGAGTTCCCAGCTTCCACCCGCACGGAGCTCTACTGCGAAGGGGGTGAGTTTGGATCCCGCTCTTGGTCTGGCCCCATCTCTCCGTCTGTGATGAAACAACTTGTTTGTTCTCTCTAATCTCTCGCAGGGTCCCCATCACCGCAGTATCTGGGCTCCTCACAATCGTTAATGGATTTATCCTCTCTTTGCCCCTCCCCCTGCTAGCTTCTTGGAGCCCAAGGAATGTGCCAGGCCCCTGCTCGGGGATGCCCAGAGATGGGAAAGCCCCTTTGCCCCAGTGCCGGGTGAGGCCCTATTTAATGGCACTGTGCCTTGGGCGTGTCTGTGTCGGCGCAGACAGCAGCTGGGTGAGGTCCAGCCGGCTGGTCTCCGCGGGCAGCCGTCGCACAGCATGGCAAGGTTGCATCACCATGTCAGCGTTGTAGCCGGTTGGTGTTGCAGGGCCAGCCTGGCAAGTCTCTACTCCCCTGGTGCAGAGGGCCAGCCAGATGGCAGGGGCCCATGGAGAAGACCTGTGCTCTGGTGGCCCATCCTAGCTGGGGAGAAGAAGCCCGGGGTGTGACACGTGCTCTGTGTAGGACCTTCCGGAGAGCAGGGAGGAGGAGCGGGCTGTTCCAGGCCACCCACGCTTAGCTCCTCAGGGCTGGAGAGAGAGCGGGGCTTAGGCAGAGGCTCCTCCGATACCCAGGGCTGTGGGATCTGGCAGCTCTCTCTGCCCAAAATAAAACACTGCAAAAAAAGCCCAAAGGAAACCACTATGCCAATGACTGAGCTTAACTGGCACGCAGGCCAAACAAGAGATTCCCCGGGCAAGGCTGCTGCTGGCCCACGGCTCTGAGGGACTGTGGGTGGTCTTCGCTCGTCGCGAGAGGCGGGAACCCACCCTGCGACTTGGGGATTTCTTCAGGCCGTGCTCTCCGGGATCTCTGCTCCCCGGTGGGCTGCAGGTCAAGGGAGCCGCGCTGCTTTCCCACTGAAGCAGCCACAAGAGGATCGAGATGCCAGGCTCACTGGTGAGCGGTGCCCTGTCGGGATGCTGGCGGGGTCTCGGACCACGAGCTCTGCGCTGAGAATCAGGGGATGGAGAGGGGGTTGGACGCTGGCTTGGTTTGGACAGGGGCTGCTCTAGTGCACAGGACACTGGAGACCTGGGTTCTCCTCCTGGCCCTGCAAGAGACAGCGAGGGAACGGACACAGCTAGACAGTGAGGGTAGGAGGCAAAGGGAAGCCCTTATGATATAAGGGGGCTCCAGGGTGGGACTGAATTCTGACTGTTCGGGCGGTGGATTGGAGCTGGTCATTGTTATGAACGAGGGGTCGCCCAATGAAATGAATAGGCAGCAGGTTTAAAACAAACAAAAGGAAGTATTTCTTCACACAACGCGCAGTCAACCTGTGGAACTCCTTGCCGGAGGATGTTGTGAAGGCCAAGACTATAACAAGGTTCAAAAAGAACTAAATAAATTCATGGAGGACAGGTCCATCAATGGCTATTAGCCAGGATGGGCAGGGATGATGTCCCTAGCCTCTGTTTTCCAGAAGCTGGGAATGAGCGACAGGGAGAGGATCACTTGATGATTACCTGTTCTGTTCATTCCCTCTGGGGCACCTGGCATTGGCCATTGTCGGAAGACAGGATCCTGGGCTAGCTGGACCTTTGGTCTGACCCAGTCTGGCCGTTCTTATGTCTCTATGGCACGGGAGCTCTGCAGCATATACCAGGTCCCTGCAGCAGCAAGCCCCGTTACCTCCGAATGGCTCCTGGAGCAGTCGGGGGAACGCAGACACTGTCACAAGTCTTGGACTTTGCCACTGGCTGCCTACGGCCACACTCCGAACTTCGCAGCAGCAGCGGGGACGGCACCGAGAGCCTTCTGCTCCCAAAGCCCTGGCCCCTGCTGCCGTAGCAAAAGGGGAATTTCTGTTAGCAATAGAGGGGCTATGACACACAGCAAAACAGGTTGGATTCCATCTGCTAGTGGTATCAGGGGTGCACACGCATACTGAACCCGAGCAGGCGAGTGGCTAGGGCACTGGTGTTAGGAGACCCGGGTTCTAGGCCAGCTCTGCCACTGATCCACTACATGAGCTTGGGCAAGTCACTTCCCCTCCGTGCCTCAGTTTCCTCATGGGTAAAATGGGGGTGATTGTCCTCCCCCCACCTTTGTGACATGAGGATTTCAAGAGCTAAATATCATTATTATTACAATCCTCCAACCCCCCAGGTGACCAGGTGGGTTTCCCAGGCAGGGAAAGCCCATGTTACGCTGGTCTGCTCGTGTTTCCTGGGGAGGGGCAGGCAGGAAGGAAAAGGGAGTCGGGTCCCCCGAGGCTGCGCTTACCCAGGGACGCCAGCACCATCACGGCGATGATCAGCAAGACACAGAAGACGTACAGCCCTTTGACGGAGGTCTGGAGCGACAGATTCTTCTGGCACCGGCTGCAGTTGGTCCGTGTCCTGCCTGAACAGGGACAAAGGCGAGAAGGGAAGGTTGGACTTTTCCGGCACAAGGCCTGGAGTCCACCCTCCGGGGATGGGCAGGAAGGATGCAGCACCTCAGGACCAGGGGCATCCCTCAGACCCTGCCCTGCCACACACCGCCCTCCCGGTTGTGAGCTCTGGGGCAGCTACCCCTATTTACATTAGCTGGCTGCGCAGCGCCATCCGGTGGATCTCTTTAAGCAGAGGGTAGACTCAAGGAGGATCCCCTGGAAATCAACCCATTTTGTCCACCAGATCTAAGGGCATCTGCCTGGGTCCCCTTTGGTACTGACAGCAGAAAGGCCAGGCCGGGAGCCTGAGGTAACGGCAGAGCTGTAGAGAAAGGAAAAACGCAGCGTTTCTGCCTCCTCCTGGCTCTGTGTCCTTCGTTTGGAGATTCCCTCCCCCCCATCCCTCTTCCAAAGGCTACGAACAGGGATCCTGCCCTGCCACCTGCAGTCACCCACTCGGGGATAACAGTTCCATGGGTTGGCATGGCCCAGGCTTTGGGGTAGGAGCCGTCGGCCCACTCCAGCCAGGGCACAACCAATGCTGGGGGCAGACAGGGCACAGGGCTGCAGGCCAACGTCCTTTGAATGCAATGGAAAGGCTCCCACTGACTCTGGGGGGGCCTAGGACTAGGCCTGGATGAATTTGCTCTGGCCATGACGAGGGCCGGGTTTGTACAGGTCTTGGGGCAGCTCAAGATGGAGCTGGGTGCCAAGGGGGATTTTTTAAAGCACCTTGAGGTGCCTAAAGACTTTTTAAAACCTGGGCCCAGGGTCCCAGCCAGACAGGGGCCAAGCCCACTTGTCAGAGCCCGCCCCGAGCTTCTCCTCAGTTGCCTCCTCTAACCAAAGTGAGGCGAGATCGGGGTTCTCCAGGCTGCCCGAGGGCTCTGAATCCGGCTGGCTGGGCTCCCTTCTCCAGAGTGAGCATCAAGCCCGGAGCACAGGGCCTGGGGCAGTCCCTGCCCTTCCATTGGGTGATGGTACTGACAGATGCCTCAGGCTGGTGGGACTTTACAGGGACCCCCCCCCAACATACAGGCAGCAGCCCCCCTCTGTGACTGCCTAGCCCAGGCCAGGGCTTAGCCACTGCCCAGGCTGTGAGAGTGAATCTGGGAGCTGGAGAACCCCAGGGTCCTTTCGCGTCCAGACTCCGGTCTCTACAACCTACTCCTGTCTCTGCTCTCCTACACCTGCCAGCCAGCAGAGGGGAAAGGCCACCATTCAGGGAACAAACCCTGCTCGGTCGCCTTCCTCAAACCCTTCCCCAAGATAAGGCACTTCTTCCGTCCCCCAGTTATGGGCCCCTGGGCTCATTACAAGTTCTCCCCCGTACAGAGCTTCACAGCCCCGGGGCCTTGCCATGTGGAGCGAGCATCTAGGGAGCATCCCTGCATTGCCCACGGGGAATGGAGTGGGCGACACCTGATGGGCCTTCTCATGCACCGAACTTCCCAGGCCGGTCGGCGCCCTCACCGTCTGGTCTGTATCGGAAGGATGGCATGTCGTCGTCCTCTCCAATGAGGTCTTCTTCTGAAAGACAGGCAGATGCTTCAGAACTTTCCCTGACTTTGCTCCCCGGAATCACTAGCCCTGACGGCAGAGGGCCAGAAGAACCTGTCGCTCCAGGGGCCACCCATCCCCACCCTGCGAAGCTCCTTACTCCACAAGTAGCTCCAGTGGATAAGACGCTACTCGGGGTAAGTAGGGGCAGCAGAATCTGGCTGGCGGTGGAAGGTGCAAAGCTGGGTCCATGGTTACGATCTACCCAATAAACTCCTTTGGGCTCAGTCCCCTCAGGCTTCCACGCGGGCCAGGCGTTTTGGAAGGTGGGAAGACGCCCAGGCAAGGTGCTTTGGAAAACGCACCGTCCAAGCTCCGTTTTGTTTCTAAACGAGTGACGAACGTTCGCAGCAGCTGCAGTTAGCTACAGCGAGCTGCTGTCCGTTCAATGCACCACAGGTTTTCTTTGGGCTCAGCCATAGGGAAGGAGTGTGGCCCGTTCCCAGCATTGCTCCTCTGCCTGTAGACACTGCTGGGTCCTAAAGCCCTTCTGTCTGTTGGCAATCACCAAGGGCTAGATTGTGCCTTTGGGCACAGGGATAGTGTGGAAACCGAGCCAGGCCAGGAGCAGCCCAAGAGCCGTGGTGTCTCTGAGATACCTCTGGAGTCCCAATCCTCTCCCTATTCCCATCTTGCTCCCGTAGCACTCATAGTCTCTAAGGCCAGAAGGGACCCTCATGATCATCTCGTCTGACCTCCTGCACCTCGCAGGCCACAGATCCTCGCCCACCCACTCCTGTGACAGACCCCTGACCTCTGGCTGAGTTACTGAAGTCCTCAAACCATGGTTTAAAAACTCCAGGTTACAGAGAATCCACCGTTTACTCTGGGTCTAATTTACTAGCCGTAAATTAACAGCTCCCAGCTCAGCTGCATTGGCCAGAGAGCAGGCACCACCCATTCCCTGCCTCGCCCCCGCCACCTGCTCTGGGGTAGGAGTAAGGGCACACACGGCCCTGCTCGGTCCCGCACGCCCAGCCCTCGGGGCCAGGGCAGGGAGCCTGTGAAGAGGTGAAAGGGGAGCGCCTGCTCCCTGGCATAGGGCTGGAGTCTGTGACACCCCGGCCCTCACGCAGCGCTGTAAATGGGCCCCACGCTGCAGCGCCTGGCAGAGAGCAGGTCCCTGCTCTGAAGCGCTGGGAGCCAGGAGTCACTGGGGCAGGACAGCAAAGGGGGAGCGAGATCCAGCTCGCATGCGGACAGCCCGGCGGGAACCTGGTGGGAGTGACCTTCGCTTTGCCATGGGAATGAACTGGGGGCACCTCCCCCAGGCAGACACGCCTGCCTCCTCCACCCCACCCCCAGGGGAGCTTTACCCTCAAGGCAGAGCATTGGCTTAATCACATCTAGCTCCGACAGAGGTCCCAGGGCCCTTCCTTTGGACCGTTCCCAGCCCGTCCTGCAAGGAGATGTCCCTCTGGGTGCAGAACGCCGGTTCCATCAGAGAGGGGCCCTGTCCCAGACCCCTCCACCACCCCCAAGGCCTGGCTCTCCACGCCCTTTGTGCTCCGGGCTCCCAGGGAGTGTCATGCTCATCTGCCCTTTGCCGTTCATTCCCCTGGGCTCTCCTGCAATTTAAACAAACGCCAGGGGAGAGGACGTGCCACCTGCACCCTCCCAGGCCTGGGGAAATCACTGCGGTTACACAATTGCTAAGCCCCTGCCTAGCCTGGAGGTTATTAATTAACCCCTGGATACTGACTGCAATGCACTGAAGCCTATCCCGGACTGCGGGGGAAGCACTCGGGCACATGTGCATCTTTGACCCCAGGGTACTGACAGCAAGACACTTTCCAAGGCATATGCGTGGGACCCCCTAAACCTCACCTGTATCTGAACCCCTCACCCCTCAAATCCATCTCTCTTGGAAACATACAACAAGCTGTCATGGGCAAACATGCACCCCGAGGAAAGGGTGACACATTTTCCTTTCTCCCCTTGACCCAGAGAGGCTGGTAAATTAATCACAAAGACCAGGAAAGAGTGAAATAGACGAGGAGTGATCCAGGCCGCTCGCTGCCTCTGTGGCGTGTTTTGTTTCACACGAGAACGGTCACAGGACAGGAAAGGGGAAAAACGAGATCTCGTCTGAGTCTAATTTCCCCTGACACTGCAGATAATATGCACAATTCAGCTCCTCCTCATCGAGTCGCTGCATTGAATACAGGGACTAATGAGACCTAATCTGCTTCCAAATATTTCCTGAGCCGTAACATTCGGAAGTGGGTTCTGAGGGTGGTTGGATTGGGGTTTCGCCTTGGCAGGTCATGAACACGGGAGAGCCAATTGTGAAATACCGACTGTGCTTTCAAACCGCTTCCCACTCAACTCCAGGGCTGCCTGGGAGAGAATGCTGAACATAGACAGGATTTCGGTTTAGTCTCATCCCGACTAAGCATCTTACTTTAGACAACTCCATGTCTGGAGGCTTCTTCGTGACAAGATGTTTTGCTTTAGAGAGCCAAAGGATGGGATGCGTTTCTGCAGCAGACAGATGACCTGTGCCCCTTTAAGGCTGGAATGTCACCCGGGAGGTAATAAAAAGTGGTGTTCATTAACATTCATCTGGAGCACAGTTTGTACGTTGTTCTGGTCCTGAACCCCAATTCTTGGCATTCCCCCCAAGTACAGTCATAGGTCGGTTACAGGCTGCATTGACTCCGACAACATGCTTTGGAGTTTCTTTGAAATTACAGGGTGTAGGGGAAAAAAAACCCTCAGCAGTTAAATGGGATTTATGTAATTAGGATTTGCACTGTCTTTCTATAGACTGGGGAAATTTCCCACTTGGCTACCAAGGTCTAGACAGGTGTCCAATCAATTAGGGAATTAGATGAACATTGATTTTCCCGATCAGTCCTAGTGCCCAGGGAAATCAGATGACGGCTAGGAACCATCTGTCAACCTTGGATGTAGCCAAATTTACTTAGCAGATAAGTCCAAAAAAATTCCACTGAGATCTCTAGCACATGAAAGAGCCGCATCTCACGGCTTTGATGTAATTACCATGAAACAGGACTGTTTAGCCAATAGGATCACACTATGCAAATAGCTGAGAGTCAGTTTCATGCTGAGTGGCTGAATCCCCTGGCAAAGCCAGAATTCTAGGACCGGGAAGAAAAAACAATTTGTTATTTACTGCTTGGAAGTGAAATTGAAAAGGCTAAAAAAAGATCCTCTACCTTAACCAGGGCCTGGGGAAGTTCTGCAATACGGGGGTTATGAAAACCTGCTGCAGTTTTGATCTGCATTTGGCTCTGTCCCAAAGCTCTAATCTCAAAGTGCAAAACTCTGTCAAAATCCCCAGGTTTCGTATCAAAACTAGAAGCGCACAAAAATAATGGAGGAAAAAATGTGATATTTGCAATAGCTTTCTATGGACAAAGGCCATCTGTGAGTAGATTCATTCTGTGACCAACTCTGCTTTTTATTCATTCTACAGGAAACGTCAAACCTGCAGGTTTTGAGGTTTACAAATTCTGCTGTGATTCTCTCACACGGCCCTAGAATCATGAACCATGCAGAACTGACAATGACACAGGGCTTGATTCTGCTCTCACTTATACCTCCGTGCATCTGATGAAGTGCGTTTTAGCTCACGAAACTTATGCCCAAATAAATGTGTTAGTCTCTAAGGTGCCACAAGTACTCCTTGTTCTTTTTACTTATACCTATGTAATTCAGGAGTAACTAACCCCGCTGACATCAGAAGAGCTACACTGGTGCTTTATAACACTCCAGCAGCCAGCCCTCGCGTTGCCAAAGGAGAGCGTCACTGAATACCCTGCAGGGAGAAATTCACAGGGTCCGGATCAGGGACAGGGAATGGGAGCCTTTCCTCTCTAGACGCAGGCCAGCGGCAGAGTGGCTGAGAGCCATTCTCGTCAGATTTTGGGTAGGACGATCTGGACAGTCTTAGCCCAGTTCTTATCTGTGCCATCACCGCTACAACATGCTCCCCTTGTTGGATGTTGTCAGAGGTTCAGGGTAACTGCTCCTGTATTTCCCCTCCGGGATCCCTCGAGGGCACCCACTTAAAGTTTCCGGCTCCCAGTTCTCTGGGCCGAGACCCGTGTCTCTCTCCCACCCGACCAGGTAGCCAAACACTGCAGGAATCTGGAAACGCTACCCGGACAGGCAACTTCAGTCAAAAAAGTGAACAGAACGCTGGGAATTATTAAGAATGGTGAGCTGAGAACAAGCCCATTTAATGGATGTGAATCCATAAATCAGTTGCAGGTTTGCTCTGAGCTAGGTCTAGGGTCACAAGATGGAACAGCTCTCCTGCACCATGGTCCAAGAGCTTAGTTTGAACCAACAACCTTCAGCACCAAACCACAGACTTAAGCTAGAGGAGTAACTCCATTATCTGGTGCCAGTAGTAAGCGCTTATCCTCTGTGGATTGCACAACACCCACATTGCGAGGGCACCCAGCCCAAGTGTGGCTTTATAACCACTCGCAAAACTGGGTGAGGTCTGCACGTTTACAGGTTCCTGCACACAAATTTCGTACGTCTCTCTTTGCAACACCAGATCTCTAAGCAAGGTCAAATGTTACCAAACACACACCCAGGAGGGGAGAGGAAACTATCTGTATACAAGATTTTAATGTTTGTGGGTTTAAACCTGTTTGTGATTATATTAATGTGTGGTCAGTCAGGTATTTTTAACAAATCAACCCAGCAAGACAGTCTGGTCTCCTGGTTGTGACTGAATCAAAAAGCCAATTGATTGGTGCTCTGCTGATTCCTGTGATCTCACCAGAGATCTCCCTAGGGTGTACATATAGACCACAGTCACCGGCGGCACCATCCTACTCCTCCACCTCCTGTCCCCCCTCCATGTAAGAGATCAAGGCAGCCTGAAGCCCTGAATGGGCACACCCCGCCTCTCAGTGGCGTCAGGGCACGGTGCCAAGCTGGGAGGCCAGGCCAAAGCGGGTTGTAATCACCTGAGAGCCATGAGG